TTTCTATTACTCATTATATTATTTATAATCTATTATTTATTATTTATTATTTATTAAATTTTAATAGTTATACCATCACTTAAAAAACACCAAGTACCTATATTTTGTTTGTGTTGTTTACAGCAGGCTACTCCAAATCCAAACTCTTAGATTTTGAATTTTTTTTTTTTTTTTTTTCTGTTAAGGGCAATTGTACAAACTGAGCTCTGAAGCGTCCACAATGCATACTCTCTTAAAGTAATCTTTTATTCAGGACTTATATCGACAGTAGGTTTTTTATCTTACATTATCATTCATGCTGTTATTTTGTCAAAAAACCATTATTTTATAAAAAGGACTACTGTGAGTCCCTTTAACCTTCCTAAGAAAAGAATATGGACAAGTTGACCAAAATTTAACATAACTGAGCTTAAGAAATTAAATTTATTGACATAAAAGTGGAGACACAATATAATAGGTTATGTAAAGAAAAATAATGCATTATGTTATCACTTCTCTAGAAAAAAATTTTGAGGGTTTTTTTTCCAAGAAAGTAGGCATAATCAATTACAATCTAAACCAAACCATGTCAAATTTTGGTTTGCTTTCTTGTATTCTTTTTCTAAAAAAGTAATTAACCAAACAATTCTTAAATTTTATGGCACGTAAATTGAGAACAATATAATTGATTAAGAAAGAAAAGGAGCTTTAGTTATGGCCATCATAGAAATTGTTGAGGCCATCAATATTCAATTTTATATTTTGTAAAATTACTTTTTTACCCATCCAAGAAAAGTTAAAATATATGAGTATAAAGTTAAAAGATACGGGTAAAGAGGTAATTTAACAAAAGAAAAAGTTCTTATTTGAGGTTTTTTTTTTTTTTTTTTTTCTAAAGTAAATATAATCTATTACGAAGAAGAAATAATCAATTACATTAGTATCACGTATTTTTCGAGAAATCAATTATAATGCATTATCTTTCCTTCCATAACTAATTATATTGTCCCTCAATTTATGTGCCAAAAAATTTAATTCCTAAGCTAAGCTGTATCAAATTTTGGTTGGCTTCCCTGAATTCCTTTTCCAGGGAAGTGGCGAACCAAACAGCCCCTTAATCCTGCGCCAGCTTTGAAAAAATGGTAGCTTCACCAGGAAGAGATAACCAAATACAACAGGTAATGTTGCTTAAAGTAACTTAAACAAAGGGCAGCATCGAGCACCAGAGGAAACCTCAGTTTGGAGCATTAGCATTCCTTTTGCAGTAATTCTCATCCCTAAAAGACCATTGGACAGAGTATAGGAATGAATTAAGGCTTTCCATATTTTCATTCTGAGGAAACAAGTACATGGCAATATAAGAATTTTGACCAGCAAGCAATCAACCTTTGGAGTGCAATGAAAATGCAACATTACACTTTCATCATTTACAGCAAAATTGACTGTGGTTGTATACACTGTCAATTCAGTTCAACAACTCCTATTAAACATTGGGTATGATCAAATTAGGAGTTTTCAAATGAAACTTTCCTATCCAAAAACCAAAAAAAACTCGGATCCCTCTTGAATCCAACCATGGCACCAAAAAGCAATTTCTTCAGACCATGCATACAAGTTCAAAACTTACCTAGCTGGTGTAGTCAGCAATCTCCACGTTCTATTTTCTTGGTTTTTTCGGCATCATCCACACAACAGCATCCTACGCTTCCCCTGGCAATGCAGTACCACGTTTATCCTTTGCTGGTTCAATGTCCTCTATCCTCTGTCCTTTGGCTTTTAACAAATCCTCCACTATCTCATCTACCTTAATTTTTGGTGCACCTTGTAGCATAGTTTCCTCAGTTTTCTGAGAGCTGCCTTCTCTGGGTGCTTGGCTAGCTTCACCAATCACCTGAAGTAGTTCTACTGGGGTGGCTGCTGGGTCCAACTCGCGACATCCCACTGGGGAGTTCTTAGCTTCCTGGCCTGTAAGCAAGTAATTGGGTACCTGATGTGAGAAGCAAAACATCTCTTCTTTTGGTATTCTCCTGGCTTCTTTGGGGTCCTCATTCCTATGAAATACTGTCCTAAAACCAGCAACCTTAATCAGAGGGGTCACTAACACACCTTCTTCTTCATTAAAGTCTCCAAGCACTTCCACCATGTCATACTTGTGGATCACATCGTCTGGAGTATTCTCATTCCAGTCGGTAGCCCAGTGTTTGTAAAGGGCCCAGACGTCCCCCTTTCTAGGATAAATTCGAATCATCCCACGTATACCTTTTGTCCATTGAACCTTGTGGGAGAAAGAATTTAAGGTTTCACTTGTCTCATGTTTGCCAGCCCTGAACTCGCCACATGTTTTTGAGAATCCAGAACCTATCCAGTCTAATGGACCCAATTCGCTGTTGCTTCTTGAATTTAGCCAACTAATTTTCATCTTAAATGGCTTCAATGAGATCACCTTGTGAATTCGAGCATAGAAACGAGGCATCCCATCATCATCATCATATGCAGCCCAGACCTGGTCCTCTGCAAAGGAAGCTTCAGTTCGATCCAAGTCAAAATTATGAAAATCAGGATCTGGGACATTAATCGAAATTAGTGCTGGGGCCTCTGCTTCTAAATTATCCGGAGAGGAGTCACGAGGAGACTTCTTGCCTTGATTGAAAAAAGCAGACCCTTCAGTGTGGGCCTTATCAAGGCGATGTGTATCACCATTTGCCACACCTTTGTTTCTCTTACTCTCTCTCTCCCTTGCCCTCTGTGTCTCTTTCTCAGCATTCTTAGCTTCAGCTACTGACCTCCATTCATTAAGTTTTTGACAGATTTCAAGGCGGGCCTTATCCATCAGCATGTTTCGAATTTCAAAAATGGACAATTCTCTATCACTCTTGGGCCTCTGATAAACGCCAGAGGTCCCAGATATAGTCTGTGTTTCAAGAATGCTCCTCCTAGATTCAGACACACTCCCCAGACCAGGTCTACTTCCCATAGCCATTTGAGCTGTCACACCACCAACATACCCATTAACACGGATATCATCTTTTCTCCTTTTGAGGGGGGGTCGCTCTGCATTGAGATTAGAGTTAGCCATGCTCCAATACATGTTACTCCCACCCCATCCAGAGGCTGCCTGTGCTTCTTCACGCTCTCTCTTAACTTTTTCTTGAGCCTGCTGAACAGCATGTGCAGCAGCAGATGTTGATCCAACCGTGCTATTAACACCAGACATCTTGGAGTAAGAACCCCATTGGAAGCTTGTATTATTAGATGAACTGTGGCCTGCTAATCCCCCATGCTCTGTATTTTGAGCAAATGAAGAATTGCTTCCATAATTAAAAGAATTACTGTTTGCAGCATGATGTCCTGAACTTTGCTGCTGTTGACGAGAAGAAGAATTTGATGTAGTGTAAATATTTGGGGGTGGTGCCCTCTCTACCGCCAAAAAAGCCTCCTGACAGTTGGGGCATAGAAGAGTGTGATTCAGGTAAATTCTCAGGTACTCATACTGTGTCTTGCATCTATTGCAAATAGTCCAGAAAGTAGCAGGCTTTTTATCTGGAGGAGGGGTAACTGATGTCCGGTGCATACGGTTATGACTGTTGTGAGTCCCAGCACTTGAAGCAATATTGTTGCTGGAATTGCGAGAACCATTTGCTCTGGCTGGCACTGATGTAACCCCACTCTGAGTTGGAAACCTCTGTTGAATACCCCTGGAATTTATCCTCTGGTTATATGCTAACCTCCTTGCCTTATCTGATAAGAAGCTCCAGGCCTCTGAAACAAGCTTAAATGCACCATCCGCACCAACTGACTTGTTTTTATCAGGGTGAAGCAACAAAGCCAGCTTCCTATATTGTTTTTTAACTGTCTCGTCATCAGCTGAAGGGTTAACGTCAAGTATTTTATACCAATCCACTTCTCCAGCGACTTTATTTTCTGCAGAGATGTATACATCAATTGTTGTCAGCATTTGGTCAAGACCATCAAGTGCAGGATACAAATTCTGAGATTTCAAAGCAAATTTCTTCGCTCCAGCATAGTCCTTCTCTTTAACCTTCCTCTCAGCAATATCCTTAGCCCTGACTGCCTCATCTTTATTGCACTCCATAACTTCTTAGGTATTTCTACAAGCTTCTTTATCACTGGATGTTATGGATACTGACAAAAAACCAACTGAGAATCATGATATACAGATAAAGCTAGTTCATAAAATGGATAGAAGTAGCACCCTGAGTTGTTTGGTACCTGATCCAAAGGAAGAAAAGTTCTTTTAGGAAAAAATACAAACCCAGAAAATCTAATTCCACGGCAAATACATTGTCAAGTAAACAAGTTAAGAACATTCTTAGTATCAATTTCCTAAAGACAACAAGGGACATCTCATCCAACCATATTTGAACCTCAAGTTTGGGTTCCTTTCCAAGGAAAATAATACTTTAATACAGATATCATGTTTCTTTTATCTGTCACTAAAATCTTAATTGAGAAGTAATTAAGTTTCACCATCATTTATGAGCATAAGGGCCTACTGTCATTTAATTTTTTGAAAGCTGTCTCTGATGATATCTATAAATGCAGATTCAATACACTACTAATAAAACAAAAACTGCAGCTACACCTACCATAATACCACTTGCTCAAATACTTTTGTGCACAGCATTTCCCCAAAAATGCCAATCAATTCCAGTTACAACCATTTTCAGATGGTGAAGCTTCAGTTTCAACGCTATAAAACTTTACCATTAATAACTAGCAGGCCAATAAAAAGTCATAATAAATTGGGTTAGTAAGTGGTGCTACTCCTAGGCTCCCTAATGTAAGATACTAAGATCTCCATAAAAAGTGCACAATAATGCTAACCAAATGACTCTAAGATCTCCATAAAAAGTACACAATAATGCTAAGCATATCTGAGTTTGTTTCTTTTGATCATGATACCCCCAGGATAAATTGGCCGTACATGATTTTGACATATCTCAACATACATGCATGGGTGTGCTTTTCTGTAGAAGTAAATTATAGACTTGATAAAGTAATGGAAATAACATTGGAAAACAGAGATCCAGTACTGACACTTAAACAAAGCTAAGATGTGTAAAAGAGAGGGGACAAGACTCTTCTTATATTACTCGTAATCCTGAGTGTTAACCATTTATTTTCTTTATAACTCACTCAGATTTGCTTCCTAGAAAACCACGGAAGCTAACTGCTACTCTCATTGACCAAGTTAGACACAATGCAACAGGGCTGTATAGCTGGCTTCACAAACAAATACAGTGTCAATCAGAAGTTTCATTGATTTTGTAATCATAACAATGGTGGTCAGAGAATAGATCTTTCCACTTTCCTAAACTATCCATGCAAATGCAACAATCATGCTAATGCAGCAGAACAATATGATGCCCATAACTAGCTTTCAAAACATCAGATAAATAAAGTAAACTTAATATTTTTGCATTATTTGAATAATCAAAAATTGAATTAAAATTCCACAACCAAAAAGCATGTCATCCAGTTCCACTAGCTTAGAAATATAGCTTAAGTGCATGGGTGCCACAGTATATAGGTAGAAAACACAAAAAAATGGCACGGATAGATGAAGTTTGACATGTCCACGGCAAACAAAAACTTTTGAAAGAAATAAATTACCAGGCAAAACATAAATATAGAGCAATGAATCTATGCAATCTACGGGAAAAACTTGAACATTCACTGTTCTCTGACTTAAGGACTCCACACAAGTGAAAACCCAACAAGCAATTTACATGACAGCACAATTCAAATTTCCATTGTTCCATCAAACTTGCTTTCCTCTATGATCCAAATTTTCCTGTTGATCACAAGTTTCATCAATGGAATACTACCTCTATAAATACCAGCTAAGCAACAGTTCAAAAAGATGTAGATAACTCAGCTCATGATTCTCATCTATTAAATTCAAAACAATTAACAACCTTGTTCTCTATGAGCTTTAGGTTTCTCATTTCCCAGATGCTTACAAAGCTAACTGGCTATAATAACTATTTTCTTAACAAAATACAATCAACCAAATTCAATTCCTCATCTTCAAACAACAATATCAAATCTACAAAATACCAACCATTTAGTAACATAAATTAATCTAACAACCAAGCAACAAGCAAGCAGAAGCCCCACAAATTTCCATATCACAGTCCAAAAACCCCAAAACTAAATTCTCAACAAATCAGATCAAAACTCCCATTCCCCACAAGAACTAGTAAATTTATAAAGAGGAAAACACAGCCAAATGCAAAAAACCCCTGCACAATTCAAAAAAATCAAGACCCATAACTTTCTTCACCATCTCTCTACCCGTAAACCCCAGAAAATGAAATTCAAGCCACATTGAGCCACCAAAACTAAATCCCACGAGTATCAATCTTAATTTCATATACTGGAACCGACTCAGGAGCTGATTTTGAAACAAGAAGCTCCCAGTGGATCTACAGTAAATGGGATTTCAACGAAGAACCAACGGTCATCCCATTTTGAATTCTGTAGCCCAGTACAAACTGAAACCCTAGACTCATGATTCTCACAAATAGAGTTCAAATTACCAGCAAAGATTTAAACTTTGTGAAGAAAAAAGACAAGGGTAAATAGAAAAAATAGGATTGGATATAAACCTGTCCACAGAAAGTCTCCCCCAACTCAACAAATTTTGAATCTCAGATATGCATCAATCACAAGGCACAGTGGCCAATTTGTCAAAATCCCTTTCTCTGGGGGAACTTCAGATGGTTTTTTTTTTTTTTTTTTTTCCCCTTTAATGATAAAGACATT